GGTTAATAAAAAAAATGGAGTATTCATCTGGGCCCATTGTGTCTGTCATAGCAATGATACCTCTCCAAATAATGGTAAAATACTTTAAAACATCACAGGCAAGTCAGTTTGTCAAATCAACACCAAGATCTGTTAAAACATATCACAGGCTAAAAACTGAAAAAGGTACCACTGATGCTTTAAGCTGAGAGCGGCACAGGACTTGGATGAACTGTTAGCGAGCAGAGATATTCTGAATGATACTGAAGCCCTCAGTGTCCGTTTTGTTTGAGCCTCTCCAGTCTCTGTAGCAGAGCATTTCCAAACGCTTCTCTGTATCCGGGGCTGAGAGAATCCAGCAGTGAGTAAACAGTCTCATGATACTGGGAGCTCAACTCCTCATCCACCTGATCGAAGCCGTGTCCCACCACCTCAAAGATAAGAAGCAGAAAGGTCAGAAACATTCCACAGATTCCTCTGGTATTCCTCACTTAGAGGTCACACTTGTGATCCTCAGCGGTCAAAACAGACCAAAGAAATGTATGTTTTTATTAATGAAATTAACGTCATATGTTATAGGTTTCAATAATATTTAGTCTTTAATATTGTGTATTTTAAGGGGATTTCATGGTGCTACACAATATTCCCCTCTAAATTATGCACAACTTTCTTCTATCTGATTTACAACTGAAAATAACTGATTAAAATCCAATGATTGGAAGACAGATTGGTGCCATCTGGTGGGAGAAATAAAGAAAATCAATGTACTACCACGATGGAATCACTAGATATTAGGGATGTAACCATTCACTCAAGTCACGATTCGATTCATGGTTTTTTTTTTTTAACAAAATGAGATCTAAGACAAATTCTAAATGAAATGTCCTTTTATTATTGCTTGAACAAAATGCTGCACGTTTTTTTGTGTATCTCAATAGTCATATCAACAGAACTATAAATACAGGGCTGTCACTGTGTATTCTCTAGTTGCTTATTTTCAGAGTATTTTCAAACATAATTGTTTACTTTTTAGGTTTTCCATGTGGATAATCAAAAACTACTACATTAAGGGTGATTTGTAGATTTGTAACGCCATGCCAGCATCAAGGCTATTTTCATGGTGATCTCTGAATAAATTATGGGTGATTTGTAGACTGTACTGCCAAAAGTTGCTCTGTATTTTAGTATGTTTTATATTTCCCATTCATTTCCTATAGCAATCATTTTTGCCCGCAAACTGTGTGATGATTTTTTTTTAAAGACCTCAGCCTTTTCTCATCAATTCCACTTTGTGTGTTTGTTCATATAGCAAGTGCCACAAATTTACCAAGTTTCATACAATTCTGATAAAGTAAGTAAATAAAATAAAATAAGAATAATAAAAACATTACATTATTTGGTCTAAAATGAACAAAGACCACCAGAGAGTTAGAAAGACAATATTCAACACTGATTAATATATATTTAGACATTACATTTGCATATATATATTTAGACATCACGGCTGGTTTGAAGACTGCACTCCAAAAAAATTGTTAAATATTTTTGGATATGCCATATTACCTATTTATTACCTATGGTGGTCAATTATGACCATGAACTATAAAAAAAATTTTAAAGACCATTTAGCATTTTCAAATATTTTCTCATTTCCATATAACAAGTGCCACAAAAGTCAAAGTTTCATACCATTCTGATGAAGTGAAAACATAAAATATGTCGGTAGAAAATGACCACCAGAGAGTTAGAAGCATAGACACACACACACACACTAATTTTCTTACCATTCATATGAAGAAAAAAATCAAAATGGAAAACTTTTCACTCTTAACGTTAAAGCTGCAGTCCGTAACTTTTTTTGGTTCAAAATTATCCGAAATCAATATTTGAGCAAGTACATAACCAGCCAGTGTTCAAAACTATCACCTTACTTTAGTCCGATTCACAACGGTTAGCTTATAATAATGTTTTCTAATTTGAGTGGTAAGGGTAGGTTTTCGTGGGAAATTCGAGCATGGCACTGCGTCATTACGTCACGTCTGTAAACATAAAGAAGTTGTCCCGGCTACTAGACTATCGCATGTGAGGATCCTGCAGGAGGCCGATCGTTAGCCTTTTCTCACAGCAGCCGGAATAATTAAATGTATCATTTTGATGGCGGATTGTAATCCAGAAAGGATTATGTGTTTATGAAACACATGTGAATGAAATTAAATTATATTCCAGTTTTAAATGTGCTTCTGATTACAGATAGCCTGGGATTACACAAGATTTGTATTTTAAAGAAAACCAGTTCGAAGGGAGCATAATTTGCTTTTTGGGTAAAATAATTTCTTAATTTGAAATTCGAATGGTAGGACAATTAGAGATTAGACTGTACAGAAATTGTATATTATACACACTATACGCAAAGTCACGCAATGCTGATGTTGTTAACATTAATAATTTGAGAATAAACTATAACAATAATAATAATTTGAACGGTTTGATGTGATATGAGCTAACCGATCATTACACTTAATCACCATTAGTAGCGCGATTTATTGTAATGCTTTTTTTCCTCAGTTGGTCAGAACAAACGTGGCAAACTTGTTACTTACTTGTTCAGAAGGCAATATACGGTGAAAATTCTTATTTAGGTCATATTCCAAGACGTAGGCTAGAAT